AAATAAATAAATAAATAAATAGAAAATCAAAAACGCTTTCAGGAAAACAGACTCCAGGAATGAGAGGTTTCCGTGGCAGGACCCTCACCATAAGGGACGCCTCTTTTGCTTGTCTTGGAGACGGTTTCTTAAGTTAATTTATACAGAATATCTGGATATACCTCATTTGGGCTAAGATAACAAATTGAAATAAATCAATAAATGCTATCAATTTAGTATAACCTTGTAGAAATATTTCCTTCAGAGAAAAGTTTTAAGTGTTATGCCTGTTGTGCTCATGTAAGTGCTCATGTTAGCGAGTGTGCGAGGCTGCAAAGCAGGCAGCATTTAGCCTCATGAAAGAGCCACAGAAGGAAACTGTGACTGTGGTTGTCATATTGAGTGTGTATATGCACAAGCTGAGGAATTGAAACATTTTAATGCTGTTTCCCTGCTGAATGAATTACAAGCGTAACTGGCATCCCTGCCAAAGATAAATGTTTTTATGGTGAGTTGCTGCAGTGAGCAGCTGGAGGGCAAATGACAGAAGAGCACACTATAATACAAGGTAGAGGTGAAAACTTGCACAAAATTAAGACCTGCTGCAACTGAGAGAATTGACATTTTTCTGCTTTACATGTTTGAAGTGAAGCTATGGAAGTAGATGCTCTTTTTAGTGATACCAGAAATATGCATTTTCCTCCTTTTTTGTTAACCTCCTTGTCCCTGGGAGTTCTTTATACCTTATGAAGGCAGATCACATTTATGCTTCTCTGAAGACTTGTCATAATCACCATGCAGTATTTTCAGAGAAATGCCCATGCATGTGGTCATTCCAGGCAGACATGGAAATCATGTAGAAATCAATCCAGCCCCAAACCCTCCAAACTCTTAAAAAATCCCTTTAATGTAGAAACTACCGCATGATTAACGACAGCCCATGATCTTTCCAATAAGAAAATAACTCCCAAATACATTAGGAGAGAACAAAAGTGAGAGCATTCACAAAAGGTTGGTATTTTTATTCATGAGCTGTCCAACTATTCACTTTCAGTATTCAAAATCAAAAGAAAGGAAGTAAAAGAATCATACATTAAAAAAAAAAAAAAAAAAGCAGTGACTTTTTACCAAAAAAGTCAAGTCTGATCTGTCCACTCCTGGCCTTTACATAAGGCCTTTATAGCTACATCTAGACCTTTATAGCTCCCAGGTGACTGTTACTCTGATTCAACTTCGTAATTATAATCTTTTAACTATCCTTTACATATGCTGGGTGGCTACAGTCTAACCTCTCTGGGAAAGATAATCCTAAATATTTTTCTATTTAATTATTTTTCTGTATTTAATACATTTATCCTCAAAACTGAAAATACATTTCCAATATTTTCCAATAATGTACACCTCAAAACACTTTATAGGCATTATTTTCCTAGCTTTCATAATATATTCCTTATTCCTTAATCAGTTATAAATGCTTTTTCTCCCTTTGGGGAGACCACTATTTTGATTGATGATAACTTACATTATCTCTATATTAACCTATTTCAGCAAGATTGACTTTCTTCCTGACTGCTGTAAATTAAAGGTTCTGAACATCCAATGCAGGCAAGGATGAAATCCTAATATGTTGTCAAAGTTGCTTTTTTTGTATAAACAGAGATTGCTTTCACATTAAAAAGGTGGAGCACCTTCAAAAATGTGATTATGTTCAAGTTTCACTTTTAAAAACATTTACATACATGATACTTTTCAAAAAATAAAATATATTTTGCAATATCATTATTAGTTTTCAATATGCTATAACTTTATTTTTGTTCTATTATAGTTAGAAGTGAATGTTAGATGGGACTTGGTATCTTCTGTAAGTACAAAAAAAGCCAAGAACTATAAACATTTGGTTAAAATATTAATCAAATTACCTTAAGAAGCAGGGATGATAGCTACCAAAACAAACTATATGAGATAGCATATTCTTAGATGGCATATTTTGTTCTTTATAATAGCATGCACTCAAATAGCAACTTTTTACAAGGTATGACAGATATATAAATTTAGCTACACTACAACATATCTGCTGAGTGCCTCTTTTTGGTCATTTAGAGATAATCTGCACCTCCAGCATTCCAGGATTTTAAAACTAACAAAGTTGTTAGTGGAGCAGAATAGAAAATTAAAGACAGTAGAAACTCTTTCTTTTGTCTAATGATAAAAGTCTGCTTTGTAAGGAGGGCTAATAGCTGTACTCAAAATACTTACATCTGGCTGGCAGATAACAAGACTTTTTATTTCACAAATAATCCCTCTTCCGTGTGCACTATATCCTAATGCTTCCGAATCAAGCCTAAAAGATAATCCAACCCAGAATAACTAGATAACTAATCCTTGTCTGTCTGGTACTTTTGCTAATATTTTAGTTTGAAGCTTCAATACCAGCATGGAGTATTTCACACTTCATATATCTGTACTTAGTTCAAATTGTCATAGTCTAGTACTGAAACATTGAAAAAAGAACCATGTAAGAGCTGAAAGTATAGAGTCATTACCTTAATCAATTTATGGAACATCTAATTACTTTTCAGTCTCATTTTCAATCTTTCAGACAAGGGAAGGGGACTGTCGGACACTTCATAGGTTAGAACATTGCTTCTGGCTTGCTGCATAGCATGGGAGCCCGACCTCTCAAACGGTTGCTCTGGACTTGAGAAACAGTTTACTTCTATGACAGCAGATGGTTTGGGAAATACTTGCACTGTCAAATTATTACTAGTTATTTTAAAATTGGTCTCTTTTTCTTCCCTTTTAATTGCAATTGCTGAGTCACTGTTTATTCTTTTGCTTGTGATGGTGCTACYCTTTTTCTTTGTAATATTTTTTCTGAAGTGGCCTGTATTCACTTGCCTTTTCTGCTGCTCATAAGCCAGATTTTTATTCATGTTCCCATCATCACTGTCTTCACTAGAAGAGCATTTGCTCTGGCACACACTCTTTTTAAACAAGGTTTTCCCAGCAGCCCAAGTACAGGYTTCTGCAATGTGACAGCCAGTGACAACATTTGCTGTCTTTTGAGACAGTGGAAGTATTTCACACCCAGGTTGTAATGGCTTTACTGTTTGGCTGCTTAGAGCTAGAAACGTTGAAGTGTTTGTTTTATGGTGTTTTTGCACTATTTGAGTCAGTCTGTCACCATTTTTATACTCATYTTGATAAATGTGTATATTGGCCTTCCTCTCACAGTTTTCTGGTAGCACATTTTTGGTTTCCTGCACTGTTTTATTTAACTGAGATGAAGAAGAAACATAATCTTTGTCAGGATTCAACGTACCTTTTGTTTTTTTAAAAAAATTCAAAGGCTGCAGTTCTATAATATCTTCAGACGACGAAAGTTTTGACTGAACAGAAGTCTTCATAAGTATTCGCTCACTTAAAGACAACTTTTCAAACTGTCCCATAGTATCATCTGAAAACAAGTCGTCAGCAGCATCAGAATGATCTTGACCTGACTGTGTAGCATGAGAATACTCTGAGCTATTTATTACTGTTTGATGTTGCAATGGATATGAATGTTGCACACCTGCAGCCAGGTCAGCTGCTAGATCAAGGGTGTTGCCGCCAAGGGTTGGTGAAGTTCTAAAGGAGATTCCTTTCTGATCAGTACTGCTCAATTTTGGATCAGTTGTTAAAGAGGAGGATACCTCTAAATTTTTACTACGTTGTGCTAACAACATATTAGAGTCAGCAAGTGCTTTCTGCAAGAGCAAGGAATCTGAAGTAGCTGGAGAAATGGCAGCTGCTGATACTGGTATTTGAACAGTTGGAATGCAGGAAGCTGCAGGTAACACTGGATCTGTTGATTCAATACTTTTCGAATCTAAGAATTCTCCATGAGGATCAGATATGTCTGACACAGAGATCTTCCCTGGAAGAATTTCACATGTAGATTTTAAATTCATTCGAGACAGAAGATTGGTAACTTCACCATAAACATTTGATAACTCTTTTTCTTCTGATCTGTTTTTCTTGCCTAAAAGGACAAAGAAGACATATCAAAATAGGATGGATTCTTGTCAAAGCAAAAAAAAAAAAAAAAAAAAAAAAAAAAAAAAAAAAAAAAAAAAAAAAAAAAAAAGTTTGTTACTTTTCCCTCTGTTATAATTTGCAGACCTTGCCAGAATAAAACACAAGCTTTTGGACCTACTTTTYTGTTTCTTCTTCAAAATTTCTGACTTTTCCACCTGATAAAGGGCCACAACTTCAGGATAAGCAGCCTGAAACAAAGACTCCTCTTCTACTGTGACTACAAATGATTCCACAGGTTCATCTTCTGCATCAACATAATGTTCTAAAAAAAAAAAAAAAAGAATATGCATTAAATACACACACGCATGTTTCAACAGTAGAGAATAAGAAGATTTATGTATCCTCCTGTATCCCATAAAAAGGGTAACAGAAATTCAGCTGAAGTAAGAGGGTTTTTTTTTTTCTCCTTTCTCTCCTCTCTCCTGCCATACTCAAAACCAGGCAAGCTCAAGGCAGCAGAAGTCTATGAAAAAAAAATTCTAGCTGGTAAACAGCCACAGCCTAGGGTACATACTGGAAAGATACATGAGACATTTTCAGTCCAGCACTTCTGTGCTACACCTGAGCACTGCAGCACGGCTGTGACATGTAGTCATAAGACATGTAGTCTTATGAAAATGGACCAGGAAGAGTACTTGAAAAATGAAGTACCTAGTTACTGATTTTGAGCATTGCTTTTATCTTCAGGATATTTGAAAACTAATACTCTCTTTTTCTTTTTTTTTTTTTTTTTCTACTCATAAACTGCCTTACTTTATCTTCTTCAAGGTTTACTTTTTTCCTGTTCTATTAATTGGACTATTCCATGATATATGTAGAAATGAGACTAACCTGGTTTTTGCCATTGAATTTCAAAACAAGGAGTCCCATTTTTAACACGTGTCTTGATTATCCTTAAAAAAAAAAAAAGCAGATCATTAATTTTTGTTTGAGCAGGAAATGAAAAAAAATTATTCTAGTATATTCTTGTTTGTAACAATTAACCAGAGGAAAAATCCTATCCTTGTAGCAGTGAATTCAGTGCATGCCTTAAAAAACATACTGCTATTTTTACATAAGTTAAACAGTAAAGTATTTGGTCTAGGTTTTGACTAAAGAAACATTTTTGTAACACTACTCAGAGCAGCCCAACTAAAAATCAATCAGCTATTCTCTATCAGCCATCTGTAATGCCACTTCAACAGGCASGTCTGAGGTCTTCGGTTGTATCACAGAGAAGGCCGCTACCTTTTCCTAATGACCAGATACGATGATTCATTTCTTTGTCTAAGAGCATGAAGGAAAATAAGCATTGCTTGAAGAGAGACACACAATCTTCATGAAAGATTTTTCTAAAAAATCACCTACACATTGTAATCGATTCTTACATGTGGTAAGACTACTACTTTTCATTAACACGGATTAAAAATGATTCAGAAGTCCTCTAGAGCACTATTAGTCATTTATACTCTAAAAACACTGTAGGACACAGTAGGAAGGCTTAACAGARGATTCCCATTAACTCAGGACAGTAAACACTGGAAATTTATCTAACCAAACTATTTAAATAGCTACTCTCTACAATGCCTTGTCCTGTCACCCTTTTGAAAGATAATGCTAAATAAAATGGCTTCCTTGCAAGGAAGAATTTAACATGTTATGATATACTAACTCAGAAAAAGAAATTAAYATATTGCTACTGTTTCTACTTCTGTACTGCTAAACTCAGGCCCATAAAATCTTGAATGGCATCAGGAAAGGAAGAGGGAACAATTACTARCCTTCTTGCAATACAAGGATTCAGGTAAAACAATACCAGAGTTGAAATAAATTGAGAATTTACTTTCACATAGTAAAGTTAAGTTGGGGAACCCCTTGGCAACGGACACTGTAGATTATAAAAGTTTGCATAGTTTTAAGAAGAGATTAGACCACTTCAGAGAAAATATTTTGAAGGTTGTTAGGTAAAAAGGTATTCGCTCTGGCTCAGTAGAACACTAAATAACAGAAACCTGGAAAAATATTCAGGGATAAGTAGTTCTATGTTGCCCACTTTTCCTGGATATTCATTCCTAGCAAAAGCATATATATCTAGTTTGGTCATTTTTATATTCTTAAGTGCAGGAATCTCAAATAAAAACGTTGTTCTGAGAACTGAGCAGAATACAGCCATAAATAAATGATTTCATTAGCCACAGTACAAAAAAGGCCATAGGCCTGGTAAGAAGTTTGTGTATTCTAGACTGTGACTATGAATCTACAGATGTTTATTTCCATGTGTGGGTTCTTATCCTGAATCTTGAAGTCAATTAAACTTCCAGTAACAACTTGATAACAGGATCATAACTCTAATGCAAAGTCTTGTGCACAGTCCAAAGGAAACAGGATAGAAAGGAAGCATATTATGCATAGTAAGCATCAGGTCCTATTGGGACTGAAGGAGGCTATAGCAAAATATATTGTAGCATATATATATTTTATATTGCAGCAGAAGCAAGCATACAAAGTCCAAAACTCATGTGACATTACCGTATTGCTTGTAGCTGTTTTGAATCAGTATATCCAGATTTTCTCTGGATCATATCATAATGTGTCAATAATACCAAAAGTTTCTTACAAGCATAATGTTTGTCCCATTCCATCTTCTCAGAAGCAAATCTCTATTAATAATCAAAAAAAAAAAATCAATCCTTAATACTTTTTCACTGTGTTAGAAATCCTATTTTGATAGCTATACACTAAGSACACAAAACTAAGTACTTTATACATTCAGAATGTTTTATATATTACTGCAATTCCTAATGATGTTTCACTGCCAAGAGAAGAAACAACCATCCAGAAGAGCAGATTCATCACTTCTCAACAGCAAGTGACAGAAGCAGTTGTATAGTGAAGCAGATGGAATAAGGTTACTGAAAATTTTATCAGATTCATATCTACTACACAAAGAAGAGAGAAAATTATAGTTTTTGCATGGGAAGGGAGGATGAACACAGATTTTGACTACAGTTATGTTGCACAATAGTAGTCCATTATGTCAAATATAATCCTCTCCAATAGTGTGAAACATTAGGAGTTGTCTGCCAATAAAAATGTCGTAGAAAGCAACTCTAATTGGGTTGGCACATCTGTGATCTCACCAATCAGTTTTGAAACCAAAGACCAATTTTAAACAGATTTACATAGCAAAAAAAATCAGTGATATTAAAAAGTCTCTAATTATGATTTGCTACAATGAAAAAAAGGCAAAGATGCAAGTGATCTCTTTTCTAAGATGTTCTTTGCTTCCTCTTTTCTGCATATCTATTTACATCAACTAATTTTTCAAAGTCTTTAATTTCAAGTTTCCAAAAGATGAAGAATGCTAAAAGATGTAGCAAGTCTTTAACTCTTATTTCCTGTAAATTATCAGTTAAAAATCAACATTATCACAGGTGCCTTCTTTAGTAATAATTATTTAAAAAATAATAACAAACTTAGAATTGATTTTCCAGTATTTTGTTCTATACCTGAAAGGACAATAAACAAGGCCTTTGGCATTCCATTATTTTGTTCAATTTGTTCTTGTTTACAAGAAATTCTTGGATAACCTTGAGATAAAAAACAAAAAACAAAGAGGCTGTTTAAAACTAAAATGAAAACTAAAATTGCAAATGATTAATCTTTAAGATAGGCTTGTTTGTTACCTCAGGAAATGGAAAGCCCTCACAACTCTTAGCTCTTCTGCAAGTAAAATAAATGGGTTAGGAACTGCATACAAACAGAAAAGAAAACGAATAACTTAAATATTCACCCTGCACATGAAAGCAGGGAAGAAAAAAAATCATTTTCAAGACATTCCTACTTTCTGATATTGTCCTCCACTGCACTTGCTTGCTTCTCTCGCTCTGACTGATGCCATTCACAAGGGCAGCAGGATTTGGAGTCATGAGGTTTGCAGTACCTAATGCTTTCACAGAATTTACATCCATTGCGCCCATGSTCCTTATAAGATCCTATAGAAAATGCAAAAAGTGAGAGGAGAGGATGTTTTCAACACCCTGCAAGATTCAGAACAAACTAATCTGACATGTATGGTAGCTGCTAAGAGATATGAATGCATTAGCTGTATGTACCTACAGCAAAAACAGACAAATACAAGCTTTCTCCTCTCCTACTAAACAAAAATCTACAGCAGCATTTTGTTACATCTTGGCAAACATATATATGCAATGAATATTTGAAACAAGTTTATCTGTTTAGGAGTGTTGGGTTTGAATGATTGCACTGTTTGAAAGTGATATCAAGATGGGGCTCCTTAAGGTTATTATTATTTTTTTTAAAGAAAGGGACATTGCAAAACCCAGCAACATAAAGCTCATCTGCTATTGGATTCAGTCTTTTTGACACAAGACCCATTGAGAAAAATAAAGTTGCTTGTGCCTCCTTTAATGATACTATTAAAGCGATAAATATCTGGCCATACAACATTTTGATAACACTCCATCCTGCTATCAACAGGTTTCAGATCTTGAAAAAGGGATGTCCTCTGCATCAAAAACCTCTGTATAAAAATCATACACACCCAAAAAATGTTGAACATCTGAATATAATCCAGAAGATGAATGACATAAAAACTGTTTGTAGTGCTAGCCATAAAAACACAACAAACGAAACAAAGAATATAACATAAGAAAATGCAAAGAAATTACTAGGCTAAAACTCAAATTTTTAATTTTCATACTGACCTGGATGATGACATTCAGAACAGTGAGCTACCTTTTTAATTACCAAAGGTGGATTAATATTATTATACTGAAACTCTTCTCTCCATTGCTCAAACCTAAAAAAACAAATACTAAAATGGTCATTTTTTTTAAAGACTTTTCAACTTAAAGTAAAACATCAAATATTATTCTCATTACACTCTAAGAATCTGATTAAGGAGCAAGCTTTCTATTCCTTGAAGGAGCTTGGTTTTGTTTCAGTACACTGGATGATTTAGGGGATTTCTAGTACTGACATAAACATTAGGATTACATAACAAATATTCAGTATCTCATGTTCTGATCCACAGCTCAACTAGATTGACAAGCATTTTACATTAATTCTTATAACTCCATTCTAATATAACTCCATACAGTTACTGACACAGGAGTTTGGAGTTAAATAGTGTTTAAAGAAATAGAAAGGCTTGCCTAACAAACACAATTCATTTAGCAAGAAAGAAGTAAGGAATCTTAATAATAATTATAATAATAATACTTGAGTTGAAGCAGGCAGCAACAACTTTTTTGTTCTTCAGCATACRAAGTCCTTCAGCATACAAAGCAAACTAAATTTACCTTTGCAGTAAGTTTTGACCTTGCAAAGCCTCAATTAAYTTCAAAGCTTGTTCTTTCCCGACTCCTGGAATACCCTTTTGAGACAGAAATATTAAACACAATAAATCTCAGTTATTTAATGCAGCATTAAATACATGAACATTTTCATAAGACTGATTTTCATAAAAGAAAGAAAATACAGATGTTGAGTTAAACTGAGAAAAAARAGTGATCAAGTGTAGAGATAACAGATTACATCTATCCTACCAGTGACATACAAACTACATAAAACAGTTTAACACTCCATGACAAACCAAATAGTGGAAAGAATAGAGAGAAGGTAGTAGAAAGCAATAATAAATTTTTTTTTTTTAAATTAAGTATCACCAAAAGACAAGGAAAAAATAAAACAAACAAAAAAGAAAACAAACAAAACCAGATTTTGTTAGTGTCTTTTACAGTAAGCTTCTTAATAAGGAACTGTTTAAAGATCTCTAACAGAATCTTTAGCAGGAGAACAAAACCTAGGAGAAGGATGTGTTTCAGAAAAAGCAAAAATAAAATAAAAAAAGATAGAGCTACTCTGTTGCCCAGCATAGCATCAGATAGTTAAAAGCACAGAGTTGTGAAAATAGAAATAATAAAAGAGTAACCAAACATCCGCTGTTCCCATTCAGGTTTGCAACAGTAGCTTCTGGTCACAGTATAATGATCTCTACAGAAATCAAATTTCATTCCACTGTCTTTTAAAGTAGTCATTGAAATAACTTCTGTTCACTGTCTCAAAAACAAACCACCCAACAATCCACAATCAGAGCTTTCAGAAAAAAAGAAAAAAGTCTACTTAAGAGCTTCTTTCAAATTTCTCTCAAATAGTGATAACCTCTTAAATTCCTCTAGTAGAAAGATAGATTCCTTTAGTAGAAAGCAGAGCATTTTATATTCTCGCTATCTCGCTATAAGACAGCGAGAATATAAAATGCTCTGCTTTCTACTAAAGGAATCTGTCTTCCAAGAAAATACCAGAACAAACATGACCCATTGTCCAACTACAGAGGCCAATGAGAATCCCTCTCATCTTGTTCATTAGACAAGCTCTCCAGTATCCAGACTCTTTCTATTTTAGAAATCATGCATTTGCCAATGATAGAATTAAGAAGGTATATATTTAAATTGCATAAAGAATTGATGCTACTAATACTGCAGTTCAAAACCATTACTGCTAACTATTTCAAAGAGCATAGAAATAGACTTTGTTTTTCTCATTTTCCTTGGCAGGTCTATCATGGAAGTGCTTTTGCATCTTACTGAGCATGAAGTATTCTCAAAGACTTAAGGTCTTCTCACATGTCTCGCTCAACATATTCAGCAGCACCTAAGTTTTTGTCTTCACCTTCAACATGTGAAGTCKGGAATATTACTTAAACTGTTTAGTTTTAGAAAGATTAATGCCTGTGAACTATTTTGATTATCATTATGGACTCTGCAAACAAGAATTGCAGTTACTTATTAAGCAACTTTAACTGGTTGTCTGTAATCGTTCACTGTGTGTGGAATTGAGTGCATCTGAGTGCATCTCTCAACACATTGTATTGAGAATAAGTAAAATAAAAAAAATAATAAAAATAAATGATAATAACAATGTTTCTTACCTTTGGAAGATAATCACAACCCAAAAGAACTGCTAGCCCAATCAAAGACTCCCTGTTACAACCAAGCTTCTTTTTTATAGAGGACATTGTGTAGCAATCGAGATGCGGTTCCTGCAACACGTATTACATATTGTTTTGTTTCTGTAATGCTAAGGAAGGAACAGCCCAGGGACTCATAATCACTTTGCTAGCCCACTATAATTCACCCTCCTCTGCAAGAAATGGGTCTATCCTATAAAATGAAGAAGGATCTGACAGTAAAAAACAGTGAGTTGTAATTTAAGTAATTAAAATTCATAATATCACAAATGGGTAAATAGAAGTAAATCAAGACCATATGGGTAACTACACTTCTGTAATTTTCAGCTATTAATATGGATATTAACTGTTGAAAATAATTAAACACTAAGTTAAAAGTTGCTTTGTTTATTCTCCGTTATCTGTAGAAAAAAAGTGTGGTTAAACTAACATTACTCAATATTAGCTACTGTACAAGTGATTCCAGGATTTTTAAAAACATATAATATGTTGCTTGAGCTTGATGAAAAAAAAGTTTGAAAAATATATATGTGTATATATGCATGTAGACACACACACATACATTTTTTATTTATATAAATATGTGTGTATATATATTTTTTTKKT